CCAAAGTGATCATTGATAAAATAAATCAGGCAGATACCCTAGGTAATCGGATGGGGGTCATCCTCGAGGAGGTCTTGTGTTATCTCGCTATTCACACTAGACTTAATGTGCGATTTGTAGGTCGGAGTAGAAATGCATTTTCATTGTACCAGACTATGTGTCGTTTTCTTTATTTTCTGGCCTGGGTAAATTCCAGGATGTAATGATCTATTGTTCGAATCAATATATATGATTATCTTTTGTAAAAAGGAAAAGAAAAAATTGGACACTAAAGTGTACCAATCAGTCATATGTAAAACAATATGAATATTATGTTTCTCTACTCTGCCTTTTCTTCAAACATGCCCCTCTACTATAAATAACCTTAAATTATCTGATAACACCTAAACTGGTGTTATTTACCTTTCATATTGATGTTTGTTTTGTGCCAATTCATGTGCGTAAATGCTTAAACACCGTCAATTGCATCACTATTCCGTTCCTATTTGAATTTGATGTGATTTTAGGGTGTGATAAACGATATATGCGAATTAGGTACAAAATAAGGTCATAAGTGTAGCAGGGGGCAGAAGACTGAAGCTCATGGCCTAGAAGTAAAGATTACGTCTGAGATTCTGTATCGCAAAGACAAGGTGAAGATCGCCACCGCGAATTGGAGAGCTCAGGGCCCGAACTTCGCGAAGAAAGAGCCGAGGAGAAATAGAGAGTTTCCCCAGTCGAATCACTGCCACAATGCATTTTGACCGCGAGGAAGATCTCCTAAGTTTGGCTTCCTACCTTTCCGAATTTCATATGGAATTTTCTTCAGGCCATATTTGATAACAGCTATATTAATAACATAACAAGTTGAATTAATAGCTTCAGCCCAAAAATATTTAGGTAGGCTATAATCGTTGAGCATGGTACGAGCAATACCAATAAGAGTACGAGTTTTTCACTCCGCTACTCCATTTTGTTGAGGAGTTCTAGGAGCAGAGAAATTGTGATGAATACCTCTAGGGGTGTTCAAATGGTTACCGTGGTAATAACCAAACCAATTAAGCCTAAATTTCATCAACCATGGAATAAAATGTCTTAACCAAATCGTCCAAATTAACACAAAAACCAAATTAACCAAACCAAAATTTAATTGGTTTGGTTAATAGGATAATCAGATTAAGCAAATAACATTACATGAAAACAATTATCATGTTAATGAATAAAACATAACCATATGTTATTACTATCATAAACTATCATTATATATAAGCAATAATTATAAGACTAACCATCCATGATTATCATCATCATTCGAGTTAATACATCATTCATCATCTCTCCACCTAATATAGTTAGCTTACAACAAACCCTTAACATAAATATTAAATACATACCAATACCACTCATAAGGAAGTTAAAGCTCTCCTACAAGCACTTAAGCTATACATAGTTTGAGGTGGCTGTCATGATATTGTATGTAATTCTAAAGTCTAGTAATTGTCCAAAATTTTTGATTTAGTAAATAGGCAGACCCATTTAATTTTGACCCATAATGCTTTGGTTTGTTGTGCACATGAAAATAAAATAGGGAATCACGAAAGTTTGGTTTTGTTGGTTTCATGGAAGTATAAATAATTTTGTATATTAGGTGTATCATTAATTGGTTAATTGGTTTCATTGGTTAGCAGTGTTGAAACCAAACCACCTAAACCAAGTAAGCTAAATTGTTTAACCAAACCAGACCAATTATCCAAATTAACCAAACCAAATTAACCGAATGCTGCCGGTTAATATGGTTACCACGGTAACCAATATGTTTGAACACCCCTAAATACCTCTATGATGGCAGAAAGTACCAAACTGATCTGAGATGAATTCACCTCCATGATCACTTCTTATTTCAATAATTTTGGTTTGTTTCTCATTTTCAATCATATTTACTAAAATTTGGAATTTTTCAAAAGCTTCATCCTTTTTAGCCAAGAATAATACCCGGGTGAATAGAGAAAAATGGTCAATTATAACGAAAGCATAATATTTTCCGCCATAGCTAACCACGTTCGTTGGTCCAAACAGATATAAGTGGAGAAGTTCAAGAGGTTTAGAAGTGAAAAGAATTTGCTTGCTTTTAAAAGAGGTACAAGTTTGCTTACCTTTAACACAAGCTTCACAGAAAAAGTCTTTAGAACTGCTCAGTTTAGGGAAACCTCTTACTAAATCCAAACTGACTAAATTGGTCATCTCGATGAGAGACACCAGACACAGTTCTTTAGAAATGTTATCATTTTCTAGCTCCAAAACATACACCTTGCCTAATCTTCTTCCGCTTAGAATAATTTCTCTAGATACACAGTTTTCAATGTAGCAGACATCGAACTCAAAAGATATTCTATACCCCTTGTTGCTAATTTGATTCACTGAGATGAGATTATGTTTTAGATTTTCTATACCCCTACTGTACCTCTGCCTAGAATGTCTGCAGAATTATTGTCTCAAAAGAAAACCTTACCTTCCTTACCTTTTTAGAATTGTGTAAATAGATTTTTGTTTCCAGTCATGTGGTGTGAGCACCCACTGTCAAGTATCCATTGATTTTCCTTCATGCTCACGTGAAGGCAATCCTGCGGCATTAACGGTCATTTTTGTTTTTGTACCCAAACATTTTTTGGTATATTTTTCTTTGGAAGTTCAGACTTACCATTGATATGTGGATAACTACCATCCAACTGGTATTTTCTTCTTTCGGAGTTGAAACGTTTTCTGCCATACATAATTTTGTGACCTCTTTTATGACAGTAAAAACATTCCATCTTTTTTTGATTTCCCCTACTAATGTTTGGAGAGTTACAACATTCAAATGTGTCTTTTTCCATTACAATAGCATTTTTCTTTCACTTTCCTAGATCTTTTCAAGTAATTGGTTATTTGTATGCTCTAGTTCGATTAACTGCCTAAACAGATTTATGCATTTTTCTTTGTGTTCCTCAGCTTCTTTTCTTAAGCGATCATAAGTCATAGACATCTTAGTATGTTATTCCTTCAGCTTCGTGTATTTGATTTTGACAGAACCAAATTGAAGTTGTATGCTTTTGATAGTATTAGCAAAAATATCATCTTTGCTATAATATTCTGATTCACAAAACTCTAAAATTGTTACATCATTAAGCTTGGCATGGAATGTAGTGACAGTTCCTTCATGATATGATAAATCATCCGTGACCATTAGACATGGTTCCTTCCTTCGAGAGTGATCTTCAATTTCATCATCTTTGTCCTCACTGCAACTCCAAGTTGGTATCATTGTCTTTTCCTTTCACCACTAAATAAATTTCGGTGAAAAAGTTTGAAAGGTAGTTCTCTAATGCTAGTCTCCTGCCACAGGAAAAGTTTAAAGGAAGAGCACAAATTGCTCTTAAGGATCATGGAGATGAATCAATAAGACTCCCATGAAGTTTAAAGGTTAAAGGATTGTGGGGATGAATTAATAAGACTCCCACAAAGGTTAAAGGGGAAAGGTTAGACCTAGGTTGACCCTCATACATATATTAGCTAGGCGGCAGGACTAGCCAGTGAGGGGATCCCAGTGTCAATCAAACATTTTAGAATTTGTGGGTGGCAATTAACATAAACTCCCACATTTTAAAGAGTTGATGTTTAAGGGTTGGAAGTAACACAAGCTACCATAGTTTTTAAGGATGTTGAAGGGTAGAAGTACAAACGAATTTCACAAGTATTTTGAGATGAACACCTAAGGAAATACCCTTAGGTGCTTCGAGTTTAAGTAATGGCGTAGACTGACCCCAACCCATTCAGAAGTTCGTGGAGGAGGATTGAGAGAGCAACCAGGCGTAGAGGAGGCAACTAGAGAGAAACCAACTAGAAGAGCACATTACGAGCAACACTAAAGGTGCAAAAGATTGGATCCGAGCATGCAATAGTAACACCATAATTACATATCTTTATTCCCTCATTTATTAGTCATTTGAGCATGAATTCTTGGTTCTGAAGCCTATTTTACGCTAGGTTGTGTTCATTTAACACATTTCAGGTCCTAACAAGCATAGGGAAGCTTTGGCGCAAGTTTCAGGTCATTCAGAGGTCGTTTGGAGACTTGAAAGATGAAACTCGACTAAGGTCAGACAAACTTGGCCGAGTCTGGATCCAAGAAAGAAACTCGGCCAAGTTTCCACTACTGGGGACAAAAACTCGGTCGAGTTTCTCCAAGGTCCAAATCGAGTTTTACCCTGAAGATGTACGAGTTTCCACAAAACTCGAGCTGGTAAAGAATAAAAACTCGGTCGATTTTTGAAAGCATGAGACTGAGTTTCCATTGATAAGCAAAAAAACTCGGTCAAGTTTTCCTTAGGACTAGACCGAATTTTACCATGAAAGTGGCTGAGTTTCCACAAAACTCGTCATGGATCAAGAAATTCGGTCACCAAACTCGGCCGAGTTTCAGGAATAATATAAATACACATTTCCATATCCAGATCTAGATGGAACATTCTAGAGAAAGTGACAGAGAAATACCTTTAGAAGCTGAATTTGGGCATCCTTCCACCCTTGGAGCACAGATCCGACCCTTTGGAGCGTTGATCAACAACAAGAAAGTATATTTGGATCATCTACATGAGCAGATCTACTTCATCTATGGCTTTCTTGTCATGATTTATTGAGTAGTCCACTTCTTCATCACTTGGGTATGTAGAACCCCAGATCTGTGTATTATGTCTATTTTGTTAGTAACGAATTTCGTGTTAAGGTACACATTATTTCTATTTGATCATGTATTTTTTTTGTTAATTATGGTCGTAAATTTTACATTTTGAGATTGGTTATTAACAAATTTCATCCTATTATTAATGAGTTGTAAATAAATGAAATCTGGTGTTTTGTAATTATTAACACACTATATTGAATCATTATTATTATTTGTAACTTCGTTGTCATAGACTTTCATTTGATTATCAATGAGATCTCTACAATGGAATAGAGGTTTGAACAATTTATTCTAGTAAAAATCATACATCGCCAGCACTACTCACGTCTCTAAAAAATTCAACGATTGAACAAGAAGACGATCCGCCATCCATCAATGCACCCTTGACCTGATCACTAAATTCCTTCATTCTCGTCTTCCTCGAGCAATCCTCCTCCATCAAGCTCCTGATTCCTCTCTCGATTTCCTCTGCCGACACGATCTCCCCACTCTCAGTCCGATAATCAATCCTAACCTCCGTGGCTACCTGAAGCTCCTCCACCAGCAGGAAGGCGTTGAATTGTTGTTCTGCGTACATTGGCCACGTGGCCATGGGCACCCCAAACCACAGGCTCTCCAGCGTGGAGTTCCAGCCACAGTGAGATACGAACCCTCCAACGGACCTGTGAGCGAGGACGGCCGCTTGTGGGGCCCATCCCGTCACCCTTCCCACCTCTCTCATCCGATCAAGGAATCCCTCCGGCAGAACTTCACTAACATCCTCGTACTCCGTTGGGCTGGCCCACGCTCCTTGGCCCGGTCGGCGCAGAGACCACAAGAATCTATGCCCGCTTCCCTCCAGCGCGCACGCGATCTCTTTCACCTGCTCCGCGTTGAAGGCTCCCATGCTCCCGAAGCAGAGGAACACGACCGAGGATTCGGGTTGTTGGTCCAACCACTGAATCGACCCATCCGACTTCTCGGCCTTCAGATTCAGAATGGGTCCCAACGGATACACCTTGGGGGTGTTGTTTTCTCCCGACGAGAGGGAGTCGACGGCGTATGACTCCAGCTCCTTCACGGTGTTGACGAGAATACCCTTGGTCTTCCTAAAATCTCTTGCCATCGTGTGTACCACAGACGCCCATTCCTTGTTGAGAAAGCTGGAAGGGATAACCTTACGTGGAAGCTGGTGCTTCAAAGTCGGGATGGCCAACTCGGCCAATTCCTTGGACTCGGTGAGGTCAACTCCTTCCTGGTCGTGCAACTCCTGGGCACGGAGAACAAAGCCGAGGAATGCGGCGCCGGAGGTGAAGTAAATGTAAGAAGGAACGCCGAATCCCTCTGCCACGTCCAACATGGAGGTGCAGAACATGTCGTGGACGAAGCCGGCGAGTCGACCCCCGGAGCGAGTGAGCTCGGCGGAGACGGCTTCCGTGACTCGGGGCTTTTGAGATTGGATGAGAGCGAAAACGCTGCCGGCTGGAGCAGATGGGTCGTCGTCGTTAGCGAGGTGGAGTAGCTTGACACGTGGGCTCAAATCGGAGTCGGGGGCAGCGAGCGAGTCTGTGTAGCGGGTGACGGCGGCGGCGGTGGAGAGGGAGGTGATGACGGGGATGGAGACGACGAGGGTGGAGTGGCGGTGGACAAGAAGCTTGGCGAGCTCCACCATGGACACGAGGTGGCCAACGCTAGGGAATGGGATGAACACCAGCTGCTGCGGTTGCTCTGCCATTTTTTTTTATGAATGAATTAGTCCTTTCCGGCAGCGCGGCCTTTAAAAACTGTGGTTTGGGGTTCGGATAAGAGATATGGAAGGCGGAGACTTGGTGATGGATTGGTGGAAGGAAGTGAATGGGTATGGAGTACTGGTGCTGGCTTTTGTGGCAGTTTCTATCAATGTCGCGCATACGACGGACCACGCTTGTCCTCTTATGGATGAACAAGCGAATATTATTGTGTCACTTTAGTTCACGATGAGGAAAAGTCCCACCACCCTTTGCAGGTGGCGCTGCCACTATTGTGTTGGAGGAAGCTGCCATCGGTGGTAACGGAGATGTGTGGTTGTGTGGCATTGGGAAAGAACACTGTAACTTTAACGAACTTGTCATATATCTCTTACTTTTAACAATCTAAGTTTCTTGTCGCAAGAACACCTAATTCACACATTTTTTTATTAATTCACGTTATATTTGTGTTATCCACGCCATATTGACGTTATTCACGTAAGAGTATTTTGCTTATTCACGCAATCAATATTGTTTAGTCACGCAACCTAGTGTTTATACACGCATACTGTTATTTATTCACGACATTGTAAAAGTAAATTAGACGTTAATACTATGTTTATTCACGTAAGAGTGTTAGTTATTCACGTAAATGAAAATCCAGACTTTTCCCCCCTAATAATTTGTATTGGCTATATTTTATGGAATTAAATTTGGATTCTCAATTAGTCTGTAAAAATATGTTGCATTGATCATAATCTACACAATGACATCCATTTTGATATATTTTAACGTCTAAAATTTAATTTTACAATAGCATGAATAAATAACAATATGTGTGAATAAACACCAGGTTGCGTGACTAAACAATATTGATTGCGTGAATAAGCAACACTCTTACGTGAATAACGTCAATATGGCGTGGATAACACAAATATGGCGTGAATAAATGAAAAAAATGCCTGAATTGGGTCCCCAAAACTGGATGCAGAAACCAGTGCCTTGGTAGCATATAATTTGCTACTCAATCATGTCGATTGTTTAAATTTGATGAGATAATAAGACCCCTGAAATGGCAAGCAAAAGCTAGCACTAGGAAATAGCCTGAGCATGTCCTAATCATATGAGTATCATTACTGGCATTTTGACCTTGGGTTTGTGATTGAAGCAGGAGAAGGACGCTAAGACAGGAAAAGTGAGATGAACCAGTCGAACCTGGGTTTGGGGAGCAGAGAAGCTGGGTGTGTGGAATTCGATTCAGAGCTGGGTCTATTTTCCCTCCTCATCCATCAATTTCCCGCGGATGTGAAAAAACCCAGCGCCGTGGTCGCCCCTGAGACGAGAATGAGGAGGAGGAAGGAGAAGATGGCGTCGTCGACGAAATTGAGAGCTTTTGCTACTCCTCCAGGAGCTTCTCCTTCAACGACACGTCGTGCGAGTTCATCCGCACTGGGGAGACGACAGGGAGAGAGAACGAGGAAGGGAAGCTGCTGCGGTGGGGGGCAGGGGAAGGCGACGGCGGAGGGCGATCCCGAGTGCGGGACCGGCGCAGAGGACGAAGGAGATGCGGCGGCAGGTGTTGGGTCGATGATGGAGATGATAGCGGAAAGAAGAGATGGGGCCGAAATGGGTTGGGGTAATTAGGAATTTAGGGTCAAAATGGGTTAAAATGGGCCTGAATGGGTTTTAAGGGTAAAACCCAAAAATACCCTACCTTCTAGGTTCAGAATGTGACCCGACCCTATTTTGGCCCTAAAGACTAATTGACCCTACCCGGCCCATAGGGTTGGGCCGACGGGTAGTAAGGGCCACAGTTACAGCCCTGCCTAACGTGACAATAAATTTGATTCCTCTAAAAATTTATCGGTGCATGATTTAAAAGAATTAGATTGTCCACTTTCTTGTATTGATGATTTCAACCGGTATAATCATACTACAGGAAAAAGATCCTTTGATCACGGGAAATCCCGTGTTCGAAGGTGTGTTTCCCGTGTTTAATAGTTTTTGTCACGGTAAAATTACCGTAATATATACCTCCGTGTTTAATTGTAAAGGGCACGGGAAATTTGTACCGTGACTAGTTATAACTAGTAACGGTACAAATTTCCCGTGATAATTTGTACCTATTATTCACGGTGAGCCCCATGACTAATACCAAATCCAGCCACTCAAAACCGGGGAAAAAACTCATTTAAAGACGGGATGTGCACTTTTAACACGGTATATACCATGACAAAACCTTTTTCCCGTGACTGAATGCTCATGATTAGTCACGGTATATTGTTAATTCTCCTGTGTCTAGATACTATCATTTCGTCATGGTATATGGTTGATTCTCCTGTGTCTAGATACTATCATTTCATCACGATATTTTACAGCTAGTTACCAACAACTAACCACAGTACTTCCCATGATACATGACCACTAAAGTCTATATTTTCTCTAATCAATTACACCTAGACTTTTTCTTTTCAGTGCTCGGCGTTGAAACTTGCAATATTGGTAGCCTGATCAATGAAATGAAAATAAAAGTAACGTCACAAATGATTAGTCACCACAAATCATGTATCTTCATATCCAAAACAAAAAGTCATTACAAATGATGTCCCTTAATGAAATGAACACTAAGAGCTTTTACAAGAATTTGTTAGCTCCTCACAAGAATAAGTATAGCCTTCACTAACCAAGTATCAATTTTCGTATAGCCTCCTCACAAGAATTTGTTAGTTACTCCACCTTATCTGCAAAAAGTCAAACACATCATCAGCTATTGACGGGTGCAAGAAATAATCTTTGCTCCATGGGACCACTATAATTTCATATATACTAACTGTATCAAGGAAATGAAAGTGAGGGGACAAGAAAGATGAGTTCATATATACATAACTCATTATTGGTTTTGGTACCGAGTGTTTGAATTAGGGGTGACAATCGGTTTCCCGGTTTTCGGTATAACCGGTTACCGAACCGGTAACCGTCGGTAACCGGTTATACCGAAAACCGGAAAACTCGGTTGTCGGGGGGTAGAAACGCAGCGCCGGTATACCGCCTCCCCACCCGGTATAAACCGACGGTTATCCGGTAAACCGGATACCGTTTGGGGAGTGGCAAAATGCAGCGCTGCAGGGGGTCGGGGAAATAGGCACAAAACAAACAACGATCGAAGAAGGGGAAAAAAACCCTAAATCGTGCCGCCCACTTCTTTCTTCCCCTGTTCTGCTCCTCTCGGCCTCTCCCTCCAGTCTCCATCTTAGCGCCGCTGCCGAGATTCTTGGAGGCCGCCGCCGCAGCTTCATCGCCCTTCCACAGACCACAGGCCGCCGCTCCCGACGACGCCTCCTTCCACCCTTCCCACTCCCACAGACCACAGTCCCACTTCCCTCTCCGATTTTCCTCCCTCTCCGACTCTGCCGTTCGCCCTTCCAAGCCACGTGTTCATCTTCCCCCGTCGCCGGCGACGAAGCTTGCCTTCGTCTTCCCCAGTCGCCGCCGGCCCACCGTTCTGTAAGTCCCTTCTCTTCCTCTTGCCTTCGTCTTTCTTCTTCTTCCCTGCCCCTCCTGGCCTCCTTGTTTATGTTGTGTTGTTGGTTTGGATGAACAGAGGGCAGAGGGCAGAGGCAGGGCAGAGGCAGAGGCGCAGAGCTGCGAGCTCCTCGACCACGACCAGTCTCCAGAAGGCGCCACTCTCCAGTCGCCAGCAGCCAAAGTGAAACAAATTACCAAGTCCAAATGTACTAAGTCGAGAATTTGATTTTTGAGTTGATAATTAGTTATTTAGTTATGTGAAATTGTCAATGGTGTTTCGAGCTTTGAATTAGACTATTAGATATTAGAATTAGTGATTGAAAGCTTGGAAATTGCCTAATTGGTCTTAATTGGAATAGTCAGTAGACAGTATGGAACTTGGAATTAGTGATTGAAATTTGAAAGCATGGAACTTGAATTGAATTAGACAATTAGTGAACTTGAATTGTGAACTAGACAGTAGTGTTGATTATGTGTCAATTTTGTACTTTTGTTGATTATGGTTTTGTACTTTTGTTGATTATGTGTCAATTTTCTTGTACTTTTGTAGGACGAAAAAAGGGAAGAAAGCTGGTTCGCTACCTCCTCGTCCTCGAAGCTCTTCAAAGAAAGGGAAGGCTTCAACTAGTGCACCTTCCACTACGGCAAATCCACCTCCTCCATTGGCAGCAAATCCACCACCTCCATCTGCATCAAATCCACCTCCATCTGCAGCAAATCCGGCTACTACTACCGGTGTTGCTGGTGAGGTACCTGGTGTGCAAAAGAAAATAGACAAGGGGAAGAGGAAGAAGACGTCTAAGTGGTGGATCCCTTATGATGAGGTGCTAGTGGATGACTATCCATTTGGAAAATGCAAACGGTGTGGGACGCTGATCAAAGCTCATTCTACCAACAATGGCACTTCTGGTTTGAAAAACCATCATCTGATGTGCGAGAGGAGGTCGAAGGAATCTAGTGGACAGTCGATATTAAATTATCAAGCTAGTGGGACTGGTGAGGTAGGCTCTCTTACTCCGTGGAAGTTTGATCAGAACAAAGCTAGACATGCATTAGCTATCATGATAATATTGGATGAGCTTCTGTTTCGATTTGTTGAACGGGAAGGATTTAGGAGATTTATGGCAGTATCACAGCCTTTGTTTGTGATACCTGGAAGGCAAACAATTAGATCTGATTGTTATGTCATTTTTTTGGAGAAGAAAGAGCTGTTGATTGAGTTTTTTTAACTCAAAGTGCAAAGGAAGGATTTCTATCACTACAGATACATGGACTAGTGATAATAACCAGAATTATATGTGTGTGACTGCACATTTTATTGGAGCTGATTGGAAACTGCAGAAGAGGATTATTTGTTTTGTTCCCATTACCAGTCATACAGGTAGAGATATTGCAGATACTTTGGGAACATGTCTACAAGAATGGAAAGTGAAGAATCTGTTTTGCATGACAATGGATAATGCCACTTCCAATGATGTGCTTGTTGACTGTATGAGGATAAAACTGAAAGGGTGGAGATCGGATTTGCTAGACGGGAAGTATCTGCAGTATAGATGTGTGGCACATATAATCAATCTGGTCGTCTCTGATGGTTTGAAAGAGGTTGGAGTTGCTGTGGAGAGGGTAAGGGATTGTGTGAAATGGGTGAAGTCATCACCAGCTCGGAGTGCAAAGTTCAAGTCTAGCATCGACTACCTAGAGATGGATGGTAGAAGACTTGTGTCCTTGGATGTTCCGACTAGGTGGAATTCCACCTATCTGATGTTGGAGTCTTCAGAGAGGTTTGAGAAGGTGTTTTCTCTGATGTATGATAGTCCTACTGATGCTTCCTTTCGAGACTATGTGGACTCCAAGAAGGGTCTTCCATCTGGAGAAGATTGGAGCAGCATTAGGCGTCTCATGAAGTACCTGAAGTTCTTTTATGATCTTACTCTTCGTGTATCAGGTATGTAAATGAATGAACTATCAAATTTTAAAATTCATTTCTTAAAGTTAAAGTTTATGATTTCTCACTTATATTTTCTTTGTAATTTTTTATTTGTATCAGGGACATCATATGTCACTGCACATACATTCTGCAGAGCCATTGTTGATATTCATGAAGTGATTGCTACTTTGAAGAAGGATGCAGATGAACAGATACAAAGAATGGCAGAAAGAATAGAGGCAAAGGTGAGAAAGTATTGGTTTGAGAATGATGCTGATGATGGGGAGGATAACCTTAGAATAAATAGGATAGTTTACATGGCCTGTGTGCTTGATCCAAGGCGTAAACTATACTATTTGACTATGATGTTGGAAGAGATGTATGGAAAGGAAAAAGGGGAAGAATTGGCAGATCAGGTGAAGAAAGAGATGACACTATTGTTCGAGGTATACAAGGCGAAGTATGCATCTTCACATTCTGATTCCGAAGCTACTACTCAGACTACTTCTAATATTGCGACTAGTTCCGAGTCTTCTGTTATGGGAGGTGCCTTTGAAGCTCGGTTCCAGCAGAAGAGAAAGGAGCAACTTGAGAGGGGGGGGGTAGAGTATCTGGTGAGTTGGAGTCATATTTGAGAGATGTTGGTGATGCTGTTAACGAGGAGCTTGATGATCGGAAGTTTGACATTCTGAAGTGGTGGTCTCGGAACAGTGTTAGATATCCCATTCTTGGAGAGATGGTTAGGGATATATTAGCAGTTCCAGTATCCTCTGTTGCCTCGGAGTCCGCTTTCAGTTGTGGAGGTCGAGTTCTTAGTCCTTTCAGATCATCTTTGAGCCCAAACATTGTAGAGGCCTTGATTTGTGCTGAAGATTGGATAAGGTATGAAAGTGGAAAGACTGTAGATGAGCTGAATGATAAGGAAGAAGATCAGGAGACAATCGACTTTGAGAATGGTAAGAATTCAATTCATTCTTCTTATTTGTATTATTGTATATACTCTTTACTAATATTTGTGTTTTTTGTTTGCACTAGCGGCTAATACTTTCCAAGCTCGAGTGGAAACTGCTACTGAAGTTAGAGCACATAGCTTACCTGATGGGGTTGTTGAGGAGGACAAGGAGGGGGAAGAGGACGAGGAGACTGAGAGTGATGATATGAGTGAGAGTGACGATGACGATGACAATGACGATCCCGAAGTTACCCTTCTTAGGAATTTGAAGAAGAAAGGATATGCTAATGTTGGTGGTGGGACAACAAGTTCTATTGGAGAAGGAGGAGCATGAGATGCTAGCTAGTTTATGCGTTTATTTATGTTGTGTTATTTGGGACATTGTGTGAATTTGTGTGAATTTAGAAGTTTGAACTTGTGTGAATTTAGATTTTGGACATTGTCATTAATCATTATGCGCTTTGGTTGATTGACAATTATGTTGATTATCGTCCCTTTCAATTTCAATATTTGATGATACTTAATGAATTTCAGAATTTGAAGTTTGAACTTGTTATAACTTATAAATCAATTATGGTTTGACAAATGACAATTGTAATGTTATAATTATAAATTTATAGTAACTCTTAATATTGTAAATAAGAGGTAAGACTTACATTATTGAGTATATAAAAAAAAACAATGAATTTTTTAAAAAAATTGCCGAGAGCAGCCTGCTGCCTCCCATACCCTTCTGCCCATAATCGGTTACCGGTTACTTACCGGTTAACCGAACCGGAATATGGTTTTCGCTCCCATGGCTCGGTGTTTTGGTATACCGGTTTTAAACCGTTAACCGGTTATTCGGTAACCGGTTTACCGGTTGGAAAACGGTGGCGGCATTCGGGCGTGGCTTCAGGGTATTCGGTATACCGTAACCGGTTTATTCGGTAACCGGTTAACCGTTACCGAACCGGTTACCAGCCCTAGTTTGAATAAATAATAAATCAGAATGTTTGATCTAACTAATTCTTAAATGAGAGTTTTTTTTCCTACTACTATTACCTTTGTATCTTGCAGTGCCTTCTCAACCACAGTTCCTAGGCAACTTGGATTAGCTAATTAGTATTCAATAGATTATCAACCACATGTTTCATAATCTTTGTGGAAATTAAATACTTCTCAACCACATGGCTACTGCCTTTTTACATCAATGGCCTTTCTTCTGGCGGCAAATCTCCCTATTGCAGCAGGGGTTCTCTAGTGGCAACACATTCATATCAAATAGTTGCTGGAAGAAAATACGAACAACAAATAGATAAGATGGCTGCAAAGGGAGAAAGTATACTCATAAAGCAATTGAAATAAAGGGATGGACGCCAATACTAACCCCTACCTGAAACTAACCCCTACCTTTGTAAGCTTTACTTAATCTTTAGACTGAAACTAACCCCTACCTGAAATAAGAACCAATCACAAGTCATTGCCCTCTTCTCACTATAATTCAGTTGCAATAGCTGGTCACTATCATGGCTTCCCAAGCTCAATTCAACCGAATAAAGATTACAACTCTGCAAAAGAAGTTTCCTTCTTTCAGCTGCAGCTGCAGTTTAGAAAAGAGAGAACCATGAATCTGACTCTCAAAATATCTTATCAAACCCACAATTCAAATTCCAAAAGTGTTAAAGCCAGAGAATTTATTTCTGGTACATATGAAAGAAATTCTTAAGCCATAATTCATTTATATCCTGAAGTGGCAGATTAAACACTAAACTAAAAAACGTAATAAGGCAATCTTTCATGTATCTGTTATCTATACAAAGCAAGACACCTGGACTGATTCAATGGAAAGCTAATGAATGACCAGCAGGAGAAGGAAGAAAAAGCACATGTCTTTATAGCCTAAGCAGTGAGAAGCACATGTCTTTAAAGGACAAGAGTTGCTAGTTGCTCTATTCTTGTAGTTTCAGCTAAAAAACTCCAAAGAGGAAATTAACAAGACCATCTAAGATAGTTAACCAGAGAGGAAGGGTTTATTATGCTAAATGAAACTCACCAATTCAACTTCTCATCCAATATTTAAATGTTGTACTGATCACCAAAATTCAAGCAAACCATCCCATAGAATGCAGACCAAATGTCAATACCTTGTATCTTTGAAAAGTGTTAGCCAGGGGAGAATCATAAGTAAACAATATATTCTCTTCTCCACCCTTGGTTCATGCACAGACTCATCATCTTGTACCTCTTCTCACACCTGGACAGATTCATAAATAAGCAGCCTTAAGCCCATTTACAATCAGATATCCCAACTTTCCAACTCACAAGCATCATTCATCTAAGAAAAATGTAAAAATGCTACTTTAGCAACTCATAAAAGCAGAAAGTACAAGAGATCGACATGGAAGCTAACATAGGTGCATAACAATTCTAGGATGCGAACTCATGCATGCATATCTAGCAGTTCCAATCAAATGGGTGTTGTACAACAATGAAAACAAATACATTAGCCATTTTCTACTCAACCCCATTACTTTTAGCATCTTGGTTTACTCCACGGAGGCCCTGCTCCGAAATCAATGACACAACATAATAAATTTGAAGGAGAAAAAGGAATTGAATGAATACCTTCATCCATTTCAAAGAGAAACCTGTGTTCCCTAAAAGCAAAGGGCTCCTCCCAACGTTTCTTCATCCTTTCAAAATCATTGAACGTTGGCACATAAACATTGGATTTGACGAGTTATACCGATCCCTTCAAGGTTCAGCTCATTATATCCAACTTTATAGCATTAGACTTCATTAAATTCAGAAAATCCTTCACAAATTACATACCTCTACTTACATCTCAAGAACCCTAAGTCTTAGACGTCGGCGATCCATACCACCACCAGATCACCTCCACGTCTCTCCCCTTACTGTCGTCCGACTACCACGCTACCAGGCCGCCGCATCAGTACCTTTCTCTCCAAACCGCCAGATCGTCGTCACCGTGAATCCCCCTTTGGGCTCTTCCGTCGTCGATCGATCTGCCACAGCAACCATGTCCCATCTTGGTCGCGTTGCCGCACAGCTCGCTTCGCTACCGTTGCGCCACCACCCACCTTTTTCGTCGTCGGTCTGCAACGCAAGCCACAGCATCCCTAATCGCCTACCAAACCGAGCCGCCAGTCCACCTCCAAACTTGTCGTTGTCGTTCTCGATCGTCGCCAGTCTACCTCCAAACTTGAAACCCTAACCATAAACCCCCTTGAAGAGCATGCTTCTTCATCGATCTGTTTCGCCATGGAAGAGGGCATCAAATAGGGTTTTGGCAGTAAGAGTTGGGGAAAGTTCGGAGAAATGGAAGGAACTAGTCGGGTGGAGAAAAAGGCAGGAAGAACAGTGAAAGCACTAGAAAAAGTCAAGAGGCGAAAGGATTGGCTTTCTTTATTTCCCTCTAGATCTAGTTTTCTCCATCTAGTATGCTAATTTTTTCAATTCCATGGACCAAAAAAGTGGCGGGCAAAGCAAAATTATGGAGGCAGAGCAATTTTTCGGGCAATGCAGATATTTTGGGAGCAAAAGCAGTTTTTGGGTGCCAAAAGTGGCGGGCAAAGCAAATATTTTGGAGCCAACACAATTTTTTGGGAGAAAGCAATAATTTTTGGAGCCAAAAGCAATTTTTGGGGGGCAAAACAAAATTTTGAGCTAAAGGAAACTCTCCCTCCTAAAATTTTGGAATAAATTTCTTATAAAATTAAATTGTTACATTATTCACCGGAATTTACCGTGATTAACAATTAATCACGGTAAATAAACACTAAAATACAGATAAATTAGTTACCGTGATTAGAACTATATGATCAAATACGGGAACGTTTACTGTGACTATTAGCATACTTCTTAATACGGGAAAAATTACCATGAATAAGATCCCGTGACTAGAAATCGGTTTTCCTGTAGTGATATATCCTTCTCCAAAATCTTTTTTTTATGAATAAAGCTTGTTTTTTACAATACAAAAATGAGCTGCAAACGGTAAGAGAATGGTTGTTTTTGGCTGCTAGTCATATAAAGATTACAGTCAGTGGAATGATTGAGGGAAGTATTTGACTCTAGTGACTAGTGAGTGATTCACTACTTTATTAGAAATGACATGCGCATTATTGTAAGAATTTCGAGGTTTAGGACTGTGACTTGTAAGTTACCGTAACTTGCATTTTTTGGTCGACCAAAAATTTAAATGGTCAATATTATCTGTTGTTTCTGTTTTGTAACGCTCAACAACGTGGTTGACCTTTTACAGAAAACGTTCGACCGCTTTGGCAAGCGAACAATATAAAAGTTTGACCCCATTATCTCAAAGGTCGACCATTTTGCTATCAAAAGGTCGACAGTATAAATGAAAAGGTCTACCTTTGTTTCATTAACTGATCAATATTAAAGTCGGAATTATTGTGGAAAATAGTATAAACGGTCGACCGCGTGCACACCGTATCCGTATTGGATAAGGATTCCAACACCCAGAAAGGTAACCCTAAATTGTCTACCACTTAACACGCTCTAATCTCGGCCTAAATATCTATAAATACGAATATATGTCACCTTCATCGCCACCGAAACTCTGAATTTGTTTTTTTTTGTACGGTTAGAGTTTTGATGAAGAAGTCTGTTATTGTTCTTCCTGTTCGCCGTTGAGACGGTCGACAAACTACAAGTTCAGGTCGACCGAATATAGGTAACGATGTTTTCCTTGCTCTGTGTTTTATTTCCTTCATTTAATTTGAAATTTAATTTGCTTTGCTTTCATCTTGGAGGGTAAGATTTTTAGCGAAGAAAAAGATCCTTTGTGGTTGCTCCTATATGTGTTTTAAGAGGTCGACCACTTGAAAGGCGAGTTCGACCGACTTTAGCTATTGTCATCGTCTTTTCTATTTCGTAATTTGCTCCGTTTAATATGATGTTTTGATTGCGTGCACAAGAACATTTCGGTCGACCTTTCTTTTAATCCGGTCGGCCTCTGTTTATAATTGCGAGAACTTGAATTTAGGGCACAACACTCTATCAGACCCAATAGGTCGACCTAATTCTTGACATGGTCGACCGTTTGTGTTTGTTTTGTTTGTTTATCCAGAATGTCGACTTTGGCTTTGCTAGTAAGACTATGTTGTGCTTAAAAGGTCGGCCTGTCAATGTGTCTAGTCAACCTAT